TCTAGTGCAGATTTCCAAATGTGGTCACTAGCCATTGATTTCATAAGAAAAAAACTCTTTATCAAATTTATATTCCTATTGGAGAGCTTGGCCTTCATGATTTCTAGAAATGTTTTTGGCTATGGAACCAAAGTTTCAAATGCAGTTAATGTTTTCAGTGAGGTTCAGTCCTAAGACTTTATTTCAGTTGAATAAAATCTAAAAGAATGTATCCTTTTAGAACATAACACTTCAACATCTTGGGAATGTGACACTACCATAGACTACTGACACCTCCAGTGTTGACTTTGGAAGCTTCAAAAAGGAGCTCCCATCACCCTCTTTAGCCCCATTTATTGTCACAAATCTATTTATCTATATTTGTCTTTCATTGAGTTAAGAGTCCTGTAGTATACCACACTAGTTAGGAGGAAAATGTTTTTAAGTGTTCTTTCAATGATGGCCCGAAAAAGTATTTGACACAGCAAGTGCATGTGTTACTGTACTGAGAATATAGAATAATAACAGTGTCACTAAATTTAAGACCTCGTCCCAGTCGTGCTCTTCCTGGCAAGAAGTTTGGCCTGTGACTGCACTTACTGTTTGTGCTCATCAGAAACTGTCAATGTCTGCTTTAACTTTGCAGTCTGTAACATCACGCTGTTTATTAAAAAAAAAAAAAAACAATTACTTTAACTTGTGTCCAAACAGTCCTTAGTGTACTATATGTTGAACAAAAAAACTGTGATAATTACTTTTGCCATTTAATACTTAACAACAAACCGTCTTTTAAATACTTAACAGCAAACCACTGTTGGTAATAATCAAAATTTAGCTGAATTTTTCTTATCAATGATGACTAAGTATAGTTGTTTGAAAACCTGAAACTATTATGCCTTAAAAGCCAATTTTTCTGTCACAGTAAAATGATGAATATTGGAGAAATATCAGTTTAAATATTAACTTCCTTTAAACATGAAGAATTATATGCTTGTATTTTAAGCAGAGATACATGTGTACACATACATGTATGAATGTGTCTGTATGTGTGGACAGACTTTTTCCCAAGTCAGTTGATGACCAGAACCTAAAAGTGAAGTTCATCTAGAAGCAAACTGGTTTTGCATTCAGCTATCATAAACCTTGCAAAAGGTAAGTCTGGGCTTTTCTTGGACCAGTAATGCACATGGGCATTGATATTTAGTGCTTCTAAGCAGTTCACAGCAAATAATTGCTAAAATTTTCATTTGCCAAATGGTTTGAGTTAACGTTGTAAACTGACTTTGTTCTTCAAACATAGTCTCTCTCTTTCCTGAGATGAGCCAAGTAGCTACTATATAAGTGGAAAACTATAGTATTTGAAACACTTCAGGTTTCACACTTTCATATGCTTTAGGTTTCCGATTGTTTTTAATTTGTTAGAAAAATCCAAAGAACTGCATATTGTTAGGTGGGTGTCAAACTTACTAAGAAATGGAATAGATATGTGACCTTAATTTAAGAAATCTAGAGAATCTCAATTTGCGGAATGACTTAAAAAGTGTATGCATACATATATTTTCTATATTTTGGCATACAAAATAATCTACTACAGCCTTCTAAATAGCATGTTCTGAACTCTAGATACATACCACACTTAGCCAAGAAAAAGTGGGGAGGAATCGGCTCCTGCAGCTCCTTACCCCAGCCCCTGTTCCAGCTGTCCAACAAAAGGTACCAAGACTGGTTGAATTATTTTATTTTTAATAAGAACTGTACATACTTAAGGTTTACAAGATGGTGATTTGATATACATATACATAGTAAAATGATTACTATAGTCCAGCTAGTTAATGTATCATTCACACAGTTCACAGTTACCTTTGTGTGTGTGTGTGTGTGTGTGTGTGTGTGTGTGTATGATGAGAGCACCTAAACTCTTAGCAAACTTCTGGTATTCAATGCAGTATTATTAACTATAGTCATTATGTTGTACATTAGATCATGAGATTTATTCATCTTACAATGAAGTTTGTACACTTTAACCAGTGTCTCCCCTATTTCCCCGACCCCGCCCCTGGTAACCAGCATCCTGCTCTCTGCTTTTTATGTATTTGACTCTCTTAGTTCCACATATAAGTGAAATGCAGTTTTTTTCTTTTCTGTGTCTGGATTATTCTTAGCATAATGCCCTCCAGGTTCGTCCATGTTGTTGTAAATGTCAGGATCTTCTTTTTTTCAGGATGAAAAATATTCCATTGTATGTATGTTTACACACACACACACACACACACATTTTATATATATATATACATATATCACAATTTATTCATCTGTCGATGGACACTTAGGTTGTTCCATATCTTGGCTGTTGTGAATAGTGCTGCAGTGAACGTGAGAGTACAGATATCTCTTGAAGGTACTGATTTCATTTCCTTTGGGTATATACCCAGAAGAGGAATAAGGCTAACTAAAAATTGAAACTTAGCAGAAGTTTTGTTATCTATCTACCCAACCTAGGTGTTTTACATACTTTGCCTTTTTTCTTCCCTAAAAATAACCTCATGAAAGAAAAGACCCATCCCCATCTTACGGATGAGAAGAGAGGCTCAGTTCACCTGACGTGCCCAAGGACACATATCTGAAAAGCTGTAATTAACGGCCCACCAATTTTAAAAAGCTGTACTCTGAGACGCATGTTCTCTCCACTGTTCCACACTAGAAGGAGGAGAAAATACCCAAATTGTTCACTGCTGGTCAAGTCAATATTGCTCTATTATTCAGTTTGTTTAATAATGTGTGACTTGCAATTATTGCTAAAAGACATTAAATTGGCTGAGAATCAAAGTTTGTTTTGATTACATCTACGTATCAGAGTTGCTTCAAAAGTCATCCTTTTTATTGTCCATGATGTAAGATTTTTTAGTAAAATTGTAAAGATACTTTGAGGAACATTGGTTTTCAAAATGAAGTCTGTTTTCAACTCATATTCAGCTTAATCTGAAAAGCACTTGTTGGGAGAGTCTTGTGATACTGTTTCATAACCATGGTTGATTAATTAATTAAAGTACGGACAATTGTTGACTATCCATGTGGGACTTTTCTGTGATGCGGATTATCTGAGATGAATGTTAAATTCTATCCAGTAGCTTCTCCCTAACTTGATAACATTTCTAGCCACCTCTCCCACTCCCTCCAGAGTGTACACAAAGAGCAAAATGAACTTATGGGAATCATAATTAACTAGAAAGAAATGTTTCTAAGAGAAAAATCACATGGTACGTGGCAAGGTTAAGTACCAGTAACACTAAGCTCAGTGAATTTCCCAGGCAGCAGCTTTCCTCTTTTCTCATGGATGATGAGGTAAAATGGTAGTTCCATATTTTCTGAAATTACCAGATTATTATCTTCCTGTAGTGTATGAACTGCTCTTCACCAAGTTTTTTTTGACAAGTGTTTCAGTGTACACTGCATCGCATGGAACTAGACTGCCTGTTCAGTGTTGAGCAGGTTAGGAACTTGCGTCACTTATTTCGACAGTGACAGGTTCTAGCAGGGGCTGATACTAGACGAAGCACAATAAACAGAAGGTGCTTCCCTGGCTCATGTGGAGCGATTTGGAATAGAAAAGATGGTGAATTTACATTTATTTATAGAATAAAGTACACGATGAGACTTTTCAACACTTTTCTTTCCCACATGAAGTAACCAAGCTTTGTTTCTACACGGTTAGTTTGCGAGGAGGCATAATCGGGTCCTCAAGTGCAGACCCCGCAGGTACCTGAGGGCCAGGACTTGAATTTGGCCACCGTCTTAAGGTTTCTCTGCTCCTTCCTTTGCTCCTTCCCACACGCCACAGTCTGCATTGATGCTGTGCCGTGTAAGGAACTTTGCCACTTACCTCATCTCTGAATGCAGAGCTGTGTTTCACACAAGAAGGACAGGTACTGTGTTAATCTCACCATGCCAACTATCAGGACACCACCCAGCAGGGTCAGCGAAGGCCAAAATAAACAGTGGAAGATCACCATCTGGTTGTACTTTTTATGAGAATGACATCTTCGGATTGGCTGTCTGGACTGTAGAAGCATGAAAACGGGGTCCCATATTTGTGATCGAAGAATTCCTTTATGTCCAGAGCACCACTGAGCAAATTATTTCTATCCCGGTGGCACTTAGGTGTGTAGAAGCACTAGGAATATGGAAGAGGAAGAAAAATGAGGGCGCTGGCTCTGAAATCAAGCGCTTAAAAGTTTTAATTCTGAAATCGCTTCACAACTGAAGCTATTAAGAGTTTTAATCTCTGAAGGTGACAAGACCTATTACATAGCTCATGGGGAAGGGGTGCCAGGAGGGCAAATAGTGAACTGGCCATTTCTGAGCACTAAACAAAGATGTGGGAATAAAGACACTGAGTTTATCACCATATCCACTAAGCATTCAAGACACTCTGCCATCAGCCTACAAAACATTTGAGACCTTAAAGGTTATGGCATCCAAAACAAATCACCAGATTGAAACAAGTGCTTAAGCAAACACAAATAAGTGTAAAATGTCAACTAATTTAAGTCAACTTTTTATAGTTAGGTGAAAATGTACTCTTTAAATCATATGAACCTGTTGAGTGTCCTTTAAAGGATAATCTTTAAATTTCTTTGATAAGAATAATTACTTGTTTGACTTAAGGTGGGCTGTAAGTTCATTTTAACATTTTCAATACAATGAGGAATGGGATCTCCCAACAATAAGTTAAGACTACCTACAAATAATTTTGTTCACTGTCTCAAGTCTTTAAATTCCAGACACCAATATGAACTCTCTTTTCTATATATCCCATTTTTCCTCCAGGAATGCTTTTAGCTTCATTTATCCTGATTGGGTCACTATTGAGATGTTCACGGGAAGAAAACAGCTTTATCTAGAGATGGCCCTAGGTACTGCACCTTGCTAGGGACAGTCTGCCATGGCAAGGTTGCTGTAATTGGAGCACTTTCACACATGAAATATACACTACCTTGGAATTTATCTGGACAGCCTCTTCATTATAATGTAGGAGCACTTTCTGACCTGAATGGGTGAGGTTCACCAACACCTGGAGACACGGGTACTTGCCCTGACCTCAGCAGTCCATATCCAGTCGTCCATGATGTGCACAAGGATGATAGTGCAGTTCGATTCTTCTCTCTGAGTGCTTCCATTTGGAAAAGTAAATAAATGATTTTCTTCCCTAGAAAATTTAGTCCTATATTTCTAATGTGATAACCGAAGGCACCTGTCTATTTCAAAACAACATAGGACCCATCACGGAAGGCATTTAGCGATTCAGGAGCACAAGAACCTTGCAACGGAATAAACAGCAGCAAGGTACCAAGTTCCATCTCAGTTATGACCCTCCTGGTGTATTTCTCACTATAGATAAATGGTTTTTGAATTTCAGAATCACCTGAATGGGTTTGTTAGAATGAGGAATTTGTTAAAACATGGTTTCTCTGACTTCCAGGGATTTGGGTTCAGTTGATCCAAGTTGAGGCCCAGAAATCTGTGAATTTAACAGTATTTAAGTTGTTTGGGGAGACATACTTTTTAGCAATATTAGCCTAAGTATTCTAACCACAAAAATTCACACTCAGAAATCTTACTATCTCTTCCTGCCTCATCAACTCAAGATCCACCCACTGGCTTGTCCTGGTGAAAATGAGCTTTACTTGGCTTCCCTGGTGGCTCAGTGGTAAGGAATCTGCCTTCCAATGCAGGAAACACGGGTTCTAGCCCTGATCCAGGAAGATTACACATGCCTCGGAGCAACTAAGCCCCCGCACAACTACTGAGCTTGTGCTCTAGAGCCCAGGAGCCACAACTACTGAGCCCGCATGCCAGTTACCAAGCCTGGGGGCCCTAGAGCCTGTGCTCCGAACAGGAGAGGTCACAGCGATGAAAAGCCCGCGCACCACGCCTCAAGAGCAGCCCCACTTGCCGCAACTAAAGAAAAGTCCGCGCAGCAACAAAGACCCAGCACAGCCCCAAATAAATAACAATTATTTTTTTAAATATTACTTGGAAAACATTCCTTAAGGATTTGCACACACACCACACACAGAGAATGTCATAGATACAGTGAGAAGGAGTAGACAAATGTCCTGCCCCTGAAAACTCTGTGGTGGTATTAGCCTTGGGTATTTTCCTTGGCCCTTCTGAGCCTGAGATTTCTCATTCATAAAGTGAAAAAGTAATAAAATAATGCTTCATTCATGGACTTGCTGTAAGTTTATATAGGGAAAAAATATATGTTTGACATATTATCAAGTGTGAAACAGATCGCCAGTCCAGGTTGGATTCATGAGACAAGTGATCGGGGTTGGTACACTGGATGACCCAGAGGGATGGGATGGGGAGGGGGGTGGGAGGGGGGTTCAGGATGGGGGACACATGTAAATCCACAGCTGATTCATGTCAATGTATGGCAAAAACCACTACAATATCGTAATTCAGTTCAGTTCAGTCGCTCAGTTGTATCCGACTCTTTGTAGTTAGCCTCCAACTAATAAATGAAAAAATATATATATATATGTTTGATATATAGTATATATTTAAGCTAATGGTAACTTTTTACATGTGTTTAATAAGGAAACTACTTAAAAAGAAGAAAACTAATATTTGTTGAGCAACTACTATGTGCCAGGTAGATATTACCAAACTCAAAAACTCAGACTCAAAAAATTTTTGTTATGTTCATGCAGAAACTCATGCTCATCTCCTTCCCTAGGATGTTAGTGTATTAAAGAATGTATTACCTGCAGGGATATTGAATATGTGGACCCCCTATTGAAAGACTTTGGAGACTGGAGGAGGGGAGCAGCAAAGGAATATCTTTCACTTTCTCACCACCCCTTCCTCCACACCCAGCTGCCTCCCAGCACTAAGAGAGGAACAGGGATTCTGGAGATAGCAAAGCCAGCCTCCCCTCTCCTCTACCACTGTGCCTACACCTAGGATAAATGTTACGTCTCCTCTCTGTTCTCACCTGACCAAGAAGGGCTTCAGGACGGTTACTCCAAGCACGAAGAACATTAGGACAGAGAAACCCATCATTGCAAACCCCAGCAGCATGGCCCGGTCCTCTCCAGCACTGGATGGCCACTTCCTGCGCACATCTGGTGGGTCTCCGTCATCGTGGTCTGTGTTTCTCCTCGTCCCGGAGGTAGGAAAGGCTGACCTTTGTAGGAACAGGGAAGGAGATATTTCAATAAATTGGGACCCCAGTTCTCATAAACAGTTGGGAACAGAAGTGATTATTTTGTATAATATAGAAATGTTGAACCACTGTGTTGTACACCTGGAACTAGCATAGTGTTGTAGGTCAATTATACTTCAATTTTTAAAATTAAATAAACTATTTGTTTTTAAAAGCCTAAGTTTAAATTCTAACACTTCCGGAAGAAAGCATAATAGAAATCCTTTATGACCTTGGTGTAGGCAAATATTTCTTAGATACAACACACAAGCACAATCTGACACACAAGCACAAAGAGAACAAATTGGTAAATGACTTCATTAAAATTTCTGCTCTTCAAAAAAACAATGTTTAAGGAATGAAAAACAAGACCAGACTGGAAGAAAATATTGGCAAATCATTTATCTGATAAAAGTCTTGAATCCAGAACACATAAAGAACTCTCAAATTCAATAATGCCACACAACACGATTAACAGTCTCAACAGCCATTTCAGAGAAGGTATATACATAGCAAATAAGCACATAAGAAGATCTCATTAGAAACTTGTACATTAAAACTACACCAACATACCACATCATCCCCACTAGAATGGGTTAAACCAAAACAACAGACTGTATCAAGTATTGGAGATGATATAAGGAACTGGAACTCTCCTGCACTGCTGATGGGAATATAAAACGGTATAACCACTTTGGAAAACAGCTGGTATGTCCTTAAAAAGTTAAATATATAGGGGACCATATGACCCAGGTGTTCCATTTCTAGGTATTTATTTACCAAGCAGAATGTAAGCACACAACCATACAAAGACTTGTACACAGATGTTCTTGGCAGCCCAACTGTAAGGAGCCCCAAACTGAAAACACCCAAATATATGATACACTTTTATCAATAAGTATAAATTCTTACTGCAACAGAACTGATAAACACAAACTTATAATGGACCTCAAAATAATTACGCTGAGTGAAAAATGCTGAACAAATCAAAGAGGCCACAGTATATAATTCCATTCCAACAAAATTCTAGAAGATGCAAATTTACCTTTAATGACAGAAAGCAGTTAAGCTGTTACCTGGAGGTTGGAGGACATGCTATGGGCTTCCCCCGCGGCTCAGTGGTAAAGAAACCTCCTGCAATGCAGGAGCCACAGGAGACGCGGGTTCGATCCCTGGGTTCGGAAGATGCTCTGGAGGAGGAAATGGCAACCCACTCCAGTATTCTTGCCTGGAGAATCCCATGGACAGAGGAGCCTGGTGGGCTACAGTCTATAGGTCACAAAGAGTCAGATACAACTGAAACGACTTAGCATGCAAGCAGCATAAGGGACATGCTAAAGGGTACAAGGAAACTTCCGTGGTTGTAGGTGATGGGTATGTTTCTCATCTTGACTGGTGATGGTTTCATGGTTACACACATATGTCGAAACTTACCAAGTGGTACACTTGAAATATGTGCCATTCGTCATATTTCAAACATAAAGCTTTTTTTTTATCTTGACAAATGTTGGAAGAAAAAAAGTGGGACATTTACCAACCCATGGTGAAGGGATGATCCCCTCTGCCGTTCACCTGAGGGCTGTGGGCAGTCTCAGTGCAACACAGTGAGATCTTACATTCAGAGCTCGGTCCATCTAAACAAGCTAAGATGACACATTATAATTTTTTTTTTTTAATGTAACAAATAAGACTAAGGAATGTTGCCTGGGTAAAGTCTTTAGAGATCTGTTTAATCAATGACTAGGAAAGAATCACCTGTAAGTAGCTTTCATATGAACTTAATTATCTCTCAGGGATATTGTATATTCCCCCAGAAAATATTTTTTACATTCCTTTATGAATTCCATATGGGGAGAATGACTCTGCAGGCTCCCATTTGGAATTAACAGCATCCTGAAGAAGGATCTGACTTAGTCTTTCATGTCCAGCTGCGGGAAGACAGCACATCCAGGGCTTTCTGGCCAGGGGCCAGCCTGCTGAGAACAGTGAGGGTCTCGCTGTGGCTTCTCCCCCTACCCACCTCTTCTCTGTCTTCATGCAGCTCCACAAACAAGGCCCTCCATCTCTTCCCACTCTCTGCTCTGTTCTAGCAAAGGAGGTGATAAATTCTTTCACCAGGGGGCTGTCCAGTGAACCAAGTCCAACACAAAGGTCACCAACTGGTGGCCCGTGGACAGCATCCAGCCCACAGATGTGTTTTGTTTGGCTTTTCCTGTGTGTTTTTTTAATTGTGGGATTAGTTGCTAACACTTTAAAAATCATGAAATTTCTCACACAAATGCGGATTTTAACTTTTGAAAAAAATCACAAAGGCCACATCACTGCCTGTGAACAGCTGGCTGAGCCAAGCAAAGACTGCTCCTGGGGACAGGGGTGTCTTCTCCAATCCTCCACAGTCCCACCACTTCCTATGGTCACTGTCGCTATTCCCTGCTCAGCAGGCATTTGTGTCCCAGAGGTATTTCCATTTTAAGAAGCTTAACGAAATCTTAAGCCAAACAAATGCAGCCATATGGTAAAAACTTAGGCTCCATCAAGCTGTGTAAAAAGCTTACTAAAATTTTGAAGTGGAGCAAAAACCCTGTAGATGGAATTGCTAGTTGTTGTCTTCTGAAAGTGTATTTTATACCTTATCTTCCATCCTTCCTCCTTTCTCTCCCTAAATCCCTTTCTCCTGGCAATATCTTCAGACCAAGAGAGTGAGATTGTGGGGGGGCGGATTCTTTGGTGGTCCAGTGGTTAGGACCCTGTGCTTTCACTGCTGAAGGAGCAGGTTCAATCCCTGGTTGGGGGACTACGTTCCTGTAAGCCTCGTGGCTCAGCCGAAAGAGAGAGAGTGTGAGTGAGGGGGATGTGGGGCAATCCAGTTTGTTCCGGGGGCCTGCCCTGGGAGGCACCACCCTCAGGAGATGACAATTCTGTTTTTACACTGCTTTAGGAATCAAAGTCCTGGTTTGGAATTTTTAGTCTCTGTTGATATTTTACTCACCCTCTATCTATTATCCCACCTTCAAAGAATGGGCAGTGGGGGAAATTTTAGTGAAATCTGAGCCAGCATATTTTATAGTTTCCCAACAAATATGATAGCTTGATTAAGAGTTTTAGCCCTAAAGGAAGGTTTGGCTATTTTCCAGGTTCCCATTAGTGAAGAACCCGCCTGCCACTGCAGGAGACACAAGAGACAACGGTTGGAATCCCTCGGTCGGGAAGATCCCCTGGAAAAGGAAATGACAACCCACTACAGTATTTTTGCCCGGAGAATCCCATGGACAGAGGGGCCTGGTAGGCCACAGTCCATGGGATCACAAAGAGTCAGATGCAACTTAGTCATTAAACCACCAGGTTCCCAATACCCAACACCCAGAATTTCCCTCTTGTTCTGAAACTGGACTTTAGTTGCTCTATATTGTAAAATCTCCAGGGGTTTATTGTCAGATATCTGTAGAATCCATGCATGAAGAGGCTTATTGTGAGGCCTCTCTGGCCATTTCCAACCTATTGATTTGACATACCCAATTATACCTGTGATGTACAAAACTGGAATAACCTGGGAATTAGACCAGTAGTATAATAGACTATTCTTTCTAATATTTCTGTCCACTTTGTTTAAAGGCTTTATGAAAAGCTGAAAACCTCAAGGACACCTTGTGAAGAAATTATTTTATATATGGAGGGAAAGATAATAAACAATAATTGCTAAAAATGAATACACAGCTATATTTTACTATGATAACAATGACAACAATCTTCTATTTCTCTAGTAAAATAAACTAGATACAGCTTTAACTGTAAACAATAAACATTCTGGTCAAAGCTTGGAAAAAAAAAAGAGTTTGAAATATGCAAAGGACAAAAACCATGTGAATATAAGAACCCAGAGGAGAAAGTGGACTGGAGCACAAGTTGACCTTGTGGGCATCTGCAGAACTTGGTGACCCTGAGCTTCAGTCTCACAGTTTGTAGGAAGGACACAGGGACAGAAAACAATGCCCAGAGCCCATCCAGGGTATGGGAATTAATGCTTTCAGCTAGAGCTGGGCTCCAAAAGACCTCAAACTCCATGTGAGGTGGAATGACAAGTACCCATCGTCCACACACAACTCCCTAGGAGACTGCCAGGAAAGAGCCTTTCTCAAGCCCTCACACTGCATAGAGGGGGAAAACTGCAATCTCCCCTGAGACTTCACAACCTTAAGGAGAGACTCAAAAGAGAGTTTCTGGCCGGAATTCACACTACTTGGGAAATCCAGAAGCCTCAAGCTGACATTCAGTCTGCTCTCAAGTAGCTGGTGCCCTCTGGCAGCAGGCAGAAGCCAGTGTGTAACTTCTCTGGAGGAGCTCTCCTCCAACCTAGGTCTCCAAGGAATCCTACAAAGTTTCAAGGAGTATGTGCTCTCATTCCAAAGTCATAAAACACAAAATTAGGGCCTTGGAGTGAGAAAAATACACAACAGAGTCAGATCCCCCCAAAACCTTCTGATATTGGACCATATATAAAAATATATCTACAATATGTTTGAAAAAATAAAGGAGGGGGTGGATATCAGAAAGAGCAAGAGACTCTAAAACATGACCAAGATAGTATTAAAAAGAACCAAGTAGAATTTCTAGAAATGAAAAAGAATTGATATAAAAACTCAATGGATAACAAGGACCTACTGTATAGCACAGGGAACTATATTCAATATCTTGTAATATCCTATAGTGGAAATGAATCTGAAAATATATATATACATATTATACATATATGTGCGCATGCTCAGTAATGTCCAACTCTTTGTGATCCCATGAACTGTAGCCCACCAGGCTCCTCTATCCAAAGAATTTTCCAGGGAAGAATACTAGAGTGGGTTGCCATTTCCTACTCCAGGGAATCTTCCTGACCCAAGGAGTGAACCCTTGTCTCCTACGTCTCCTGTAAAGGCAGGCAGATTCTTTACCACTCTGCCATCTAGGAAGCCCATGTGTGTGTGTGTGTGTGT